TGCCTCAGCCTCCCAAGTCGCTGGGATTACAGGCACCTGCCACCACACCTGAATAGTTTTTTTGTATTTTTAATAGAGACAGGGTTTTGCCATATTGCCTGGGGTGGTCTCGAACTCCTGACCTCAAGCGATCCATCCACCGCGGCCTCCCAAAGTGCTGGGATTACAGGTGTGAGCCACTGCGCCCGGCCTAGCCTCACTTCCTTCGAGCACATTCTCTTACCTCCGCTACTCCAGGCGGCCTCGCCTTCTTGCTGTTTCATGGTTGTTGCCCTTGCTGTTCCCTCTACCCAGAATGCCCTTCCTCAGATACCTACACGGCCTACTCCCTCACCTCCTTCAGAGATTTACCCAAATGGCCACCTTCTCAGCAAGAACCTCCCTGACCACATCGTCTAGAATTGGACCTGGACACAGAGGCCCACACCTGGAGTCTCAACTACTCGGGAGGCTGAGGCAGGAGGATCACTGAAGTCCCAGGCATTGCAAGACCAGCCTGGGCAGCACATCAGGACCCTGCCTCTACAAAAAATACAGAAATTAACCACGTGTGGTGGAGGCTAAGCCAGGAGGATCGCTTGAGCCCAGGAGTTCCAGGCTGCAGTGAGCCATGATCATGCCACTGCACTCCAGGCTGGGCAACACTAGCAAGACCCTCCCTTGAAAAAAAAAAAAAAAAGGCCAGGCGCAGTGGCTCATGCCTGTAATTCCAGCAGTTTGGGAGATGAAGGTAGGCAGATCACAAGGTCAGGAGTTCAAGACCAGCCTGGCCAATATTGTGAAACCCCTGTCTCTACTGAAAATACAAAAATTAGCCAGGTGTGGTGGCACATGCCTGTAGTCCCAGCTACTCAGGAGGCTGAGGCAGGAGGATTGCTTGAACCCAGGAGTCGGAGGTTGCAGTGAGCCGAGATCGCGCCATTGCACTCCAGCCTGGGCGACAGAGCGAGTCTGTTTCGAGAAATACATAAGGCTGGGCGTGGTGGCTCACACCTGTAATCCAAGCACTTTGGAGGCCAAGGCGGGCGGATCACCTGAGGTCAGGAGTTCAAGATCAGCCTGACCAACATGGTGAAACCCTGTCTCAAAAAAAAAAAAAAAGGAAGGAAAAGAAAGAAAAAACTTGAACTGTACCAATAAAACTGAAATTCCTTCCTCAGACCCGGTGAGCAGATCCTTCCCCTTCTTTCCTTTATCTTCCCTGTAACATATTGTCATCATTATATATGCTATTCATTTGTGTGTTTGGGATTTTCACTAGCCCACAGACTCCTTGGGGACAATGATCTGTCCATCTTGTTTTCTGCCATATTCTCAACATCTAGAATAGCGGGCACATAGTAGATGTTCAATAAATACTTTTTATTTTTATATATTTTTGGACAGGGTCTCACTCTGTTGCCCAGGCTGGAGTAGAGTGACACAATCCTGGCTCACTGAAGGCTCAAACTCCTGGGCTCAAGCAATCCTCCCACCTCAGCCTCCCAGATAACTGGGACTACAGGTGTGCACCACCACGCTCAGTTAATTTTTACAAAAAGAGTTTTCTTTAGAGACAGGGTCTCCCTGTGTTGCCCAGGTTGATCTTGAACTCCTGGCCTCAAGCAATCTTCCCACCTCGGCCTCCCAAAGTGCTGGGCTTACAGGCATGATCCACCACCACACTTAGCCTAAAAAGTGCTTTTTAAGCAAAGGAATGAAAGCCAGGCACAGTGGCTCATGCCTGTAATCCCAGCACTTTGGGAGGCTAAGGCAGGTGGATCACTTGAGATTAGAAGTTCGGGACCAGCCTGGCAAACATGGCGAAACCCCATCTCTACTAAAAATACAAAACTTTAGCCAGGCATGGTGGCGCGTGCCTGTAATCCCAGCTACTTGGGAGGCTGAGGCAGGAGAATTGCTTGAACCCGGAAAGCAGAAGTTGCAGTGAGCCAAGATTGTGCCATTGCACTCCAGCCTGAGTGACGAGAATGAAACTCAGACTCAAAATAAATAAAATAAGCAAGTAAATAAATAACTGACAATCTGGCTCGCAATGGACTTCCCTTGCCTGCACAGTAGTTGAGCATCGAAGGCCTCCTCCCTCCTTGGACTCATCCCTCACCTATGTCCACCCATGCCCACCTGAGTGCCACGGCAGGCTCCCGAGATGCTCCCAGTACAGTGCTCCATTTTAGAGAGCTCCCCACCCCCACTCGGGCCCCAGCATCCTTTGTCCACTCCCTGCTGCAATCCCACTGCAACATGCTGTTCGAATGCCACCACCTCTGAGAAGCCACCCTGGTTTTCCTCACTTACTAAAACCACGTCTGTCTCCCCCACTGCACTGGGAACACCCTCAGTGCAGAACAGTGGCCCCGGAGCACGGTTTCCCGTGTAATGTTTGATGAATGAATGAATGATTAAATGAGGAAAAGACTTAGCAGAAAAACAGAGTGTAAAGTGAAGGGTAAGGCCGGGTGCAGTGGCTCATGCCTGTAATCCCAGCACACTGGGAGGCGGCCAGATATCTTGAGTCCAGGAGTTCTCCAGAGTAAGACCCCCATCTCATAAAAAATAAAAATAAAAATAAACCAGCTGGGCATAGTGGCTCATGCCTGTAATCCTAGCACTTTGGGAGGCCGAGGCGGGTGGATCCCTTGAGGTCAGGAGTTCAAGACCAGCCTGGCCAACATGGTGAAGCCCATCCCTACTAAAAATACAAAAATTAGCTGGGCATGGTGGCAGATGCCTATAATCCCAGCTACTCGAGAAGCTGAGGCAGGAAAATCGCTTGAATATAGGAGGTGGAGGTTGCAGTGAGCCGAGATTGCGCCACTGCATTCTAGCCTGGGGCAACAGAGTGAGACTCAGACTCAAAAAAAAAAAAAAAAAAAAAAAATTGAATTAATTAAGTGAAAGGTGCACATTCTTTTCTTTTTTTCTTTTTTCTTTTTTTTTGAGACGGAGTTTCGCTCTTGTTACCCAGGCTGGAGTGCAATGGCGCGATCTCGGCTCACCACAACCTCCGCCTCCTGGGCTCAGGCAATTCTCCTGCCTCAGCCTCCCGAGTAGCTGGGATTACAGGCATGCACCGCCATGCCCAGCTAATTTTTTGTATTTTTGGTAGAGACGGGGTTTCACCATGTTGACCAGGATGGTCTCGATCTCTCGACCTCGTGATCCACCCGCCTCGGCCTCCCAAAGTGCTGGGATTACAGGCTTGAGCCACCGCGCCCGGCCGGCCCCAGATTTCTAGATAGAAACCAGAACCTATATTGGCCAAGTGTAATTAATCCCAGTGCTTTGGAAGGCCAAGGCAGGAGGATCACTGGAGGCCAGGACTTCGAGACCAGTCTGGGCCACATGAGGAGACCCCCGTCTCTACAAAAAGGGAAAAAAAAGAAAATAGAACGAACCTCGGGCCTAGGGCCAGAGATGAAGATTGGGGACGCAGGGAACGGGGACAGAGAGGGAGCTATGACTTAAATCTCTTTTCAAAAGATAGAAGAGTTCCTGGTCAGGTGCCGTAGGTACCTCACGCCTGTAATCCTAGCACTTTGGGAAGCTGAGACAGGCAGATCACTTGAGGTCAGGAGTTCGAAACCAGCCTGGCCAACATAGTGAAACCCTCTCTACTAAAAATACAAAAAAGTTAGCCAGCCGTGGTTTCGGCTCCCTGTAATCTCACATACTCGGGAGGCTGAGACAGGAGAATTGCTTGAACCTGGGAGGCAGAAGTTGCAGTGAGACAAGATAGTGCCACTATACTCCAACCTGGGCTACAGAGCATGACTCTGTCTCAAAAAATAAAAAATAAAATAAAATAGGCTGGTGCGGCGGCCCACACCTGTAACCCCAGCACTTTGGGAGGCTGAGGTGGGCGGATCACCTGAGGTCAGGAGCTCAAGACCAGCCTGCCCAACATGGTGAAACCCCAGCTCTACTAAAAATACAAAAAATTAGTTGGGCGTGGTGGCAGGCACCTGTAATCCCAGCTACTCTGGAGGCTGAGGCAGGAGAATCGCTTGAACCCAGGAGGTGGAGGTTGCAGTGAGCCAAGATCTTGCTCCAGAGCTAAAGCCACTACACTTAAGCCTGGGTGACAAGAGTGACACTCCGTCTCAAAATAAGTAAGTAAATAAGAAAGAAAGAGAAGTTCCTGAATCCTGCAGGAAAAAGGGGTGGGTCACCCCGCATCAGAGCTGTGAACTGAGAAATCCTAGGGAAAGAAGGGGCCAGTGCCTGAGTCCCAACTGGATAATGGAAGCAAGGGGGAAGGGTGGAGGCTCCCAGGCTGAAACTCTCCGGGAGGTTTTTGGCTGGGGGACAGAAGGGCGTTCTGGAGGTCCCAAGGTAATGAAATGAAGGAGAGATAGTTACAACCTCTTAGCAAATCCCGGGGAAGTGAAGGGATCTGGGAGTGAGGACTGGATTCCGGGACAGGGATGCTGAGCGGCTGGGTCAGGAGGAAGCTGAAAGCCAGGCACGGTGGCTCACGCCTGTAATCCCAGAGCTTTGGGAGGAGGGAGACTCTCTTGAGAGCAGGAGTTCGAGACCAGCCTGAGTACCATAGCAAGACTCCGTCTCTACAAAATATTTGAAAATTATTAAGGAGTAGTGGCGAGCACCTCTAGTCCCAGCCACCTCGGAGGCTGAGGCGGGAGGATCACCTGAGCCCAGGAGCTCAAGGGTGCAGTGAGCTATGATTGCGCCACCGCACTCCAGCCTGGGCGACAGAGCGAGACCCTGTCTCCAAAAATAATACATAAAAACGGAGACGGGGCTGGGGCAGAGGAGGCAGCGGGACCCATCCCCGGGAGCGATCACACGCGCGGAACGTCCGGGACGAGACCCAGGGCTTCCACCCCGATGGGGCTGCTCGTGTAGGGTGAGGCGGGGGCGGGGCGGGACGAAGCGGGATGGGCGGGGCCCGGGCGGGGCGGGGCCCGGGCGGGGCGGGGCCGGGGCGGGGCCCGGGCGGGGCGGGGCGGGGCCGGGGTCCCGGGGGCCGGGGCGGGGCCGAGCTGGCGCTGCGCAGCCGCGGGGCGGCCGTCGCGCATGCGGGGCTCACAAGGCTGCGGCCGGAGCCGCTGCCACTCCCGGGAGCATGAAGGACCGAACCCAGGAGCTCCGCACGGTGAGTCCGGCCCCCGCGCGCGGCCGCCCGCCGCCTGCGCCGGCGCCCCGGACACTCCCCGCCCGGCTCCCGCAGCCCGGAGAGCGGCCGCTCCTGAGTCCCTATCCCGGGCTGGAGGCAGCGGGGCGAGCCGGGGACCCCGACCCCCCCTCCGGGTTCCGCCCCTCGGACCCACTCGGGGTCACGGGCTCTCGTGAGCTCGGCCGCGCTGACACGTGGACGGGAGGCTGGAGTCCGGGGTCCTGGATAAACTTTTCGAGGTCCCATTGATTTGGGGGGTTCGGAGGGTGCTGATGGGGTTCTGGTGGCGGGACCTCTTCCCCCTCTCGCAGAACAGGCCCTGTCTCTGGCACCCCCCCGCACTGTCCCTCATCGCTGACCTCCCGACCCCGCTCGGTGTAGACAGACAAGGGACCGCGGTGGAAACCCCCTCGGTGTGGACAGACGAGGGGACCGCAATGGGCTGGGGGCGGTCCCCGCTGCGGGGCGCGCTGCGGAAACCCGGCCGTCGGGTGGGGGCGGCCTCCTGGGCGCCGTCCCTGTCACCTGTGGCTCCCATCACCTGTGGCTCCCCCTCCGCTGGTCGCAGTAGGGATCCGCTGCCCGCCCGAGGTCTGGGAGGGGTCACACCCACCCCCGGTCCACCTGTCCACCGTCGGGCTCCCGGGCAGCCCTGGCTGGCGTTTCCAGACCCTTCAGCCTTCCCTGCCACTTGGATCTATTTTTCCACCTGTATCTCAGGAGCCGCTGGGGTGTGGCTCCCGGGGCGGGGTTTGAGGGGAGTGGGAGGATGCACAAACATTCTGAGTCAGAGCCCAGCCCTTCCCAGCCCAGAGACCCCTGCAGCCTGCCTGGGTCCCCTTTCCCTGGTCTCTGCCCTTAGGGATGAGGAGCCCAGGAGGATGGTGACCGCGAGTGGGGGACGGTGAAGGAAATGAAGTCTCCCTGGGTGTGTTGTGAGGGGATCAGGGCTCAAGACTAGATTGATTCTCCTCTGGTCATCTTGTGCCCTGGCTGGTCACCTGGCTGGCAGCCCTGCCTGCTGATCCCTGGGAGCCTCCCCTCTGCCCTCCACCTCGGCTAGGAACCAAAACCCTAAGGTCCCCTCCCATGGAAAATGTCAAGTGTCCTCTGGGCGTTTGACTGCACGGCTTGTCTTCTCGACCCAGAGCCTCCCTGGGTTGAAGCCTGTCTGCCCCGTTATGTCAGCCTTGTCTCCTGGGCATGCTGGAGCCGGACCTGGGCTCCCCTGCCTTCCTGTCCCCCACTCGCTCTGGCACCACTGCCTCCACTTCGCCTCCAGATCTGTCATTCCTGGCTGAGCGCCCGGCCCCCAGGGTAAACCCCATGAGGTTTCAAAGGAAGAAGATGGTCCCTCAAGTCACGTATGGGCTCTAAACACTTCCCCTGCGGTCCCTGTGGTTGCCCTCAAGTTTCCTGAGCTCCGTTGAGTCAGAACGAGTGTTTTCCTGGTGACGGATGGCTGTGTGGTGTATTTGCTGATGTTTGGGCGTCTGGTAGGTTTCCTGAGGATATGTGTGCGAACCAAGTGGTCAGCGCAATGTGGATGTGGGGTAACAGCCTCCGGTATCAGCCTTCATCCCCCTAGCTGAACGGGAAACTGAGGCACAAAGGAGATGTGGCTTGCCTGCTAGAGGGAAGGGGAGTAAAAAAGGGCTTTGCCTCGTCCCTGAAGACAGTCAGACTCAGGCCTGGCTGGCACTGGGGGACCCCCAGTAGAGCTTGGGTTGTGAAGCATTTGAACCCAGATCTTTTCTTGCTTTTTTTTTTTTTTAGACAGAGTTTCCCTCTGTTGTCCAGGCTGGAGTGCAGCGGCAGGATCTTGGCTCACTGCAACCTCCACCTCCCAGGTTCAAGCAATTCTGCCTCAGCCTCCCTAGTAGCACCCGGCTAATTATTTGTATTTTTAGCAGAGACAGGGCTTCACCATGTTGTTCAGGCTGGTCTCGAGCTCCTGACCTCGTGAGCTGCCTGCCTCGGCCTCCCTAAGTGCTGGGATGACAGGCATGAGCCACCGCGCCCGGCCGAACCCAGATCTTTTCGCTGTGTTGTCTGTCTCTGTTACTACCTCCTCGCCCCCTGATTAGATGGTGAAGCCAGGCTTTGCTTTGAATGGTCTGAGGCTTCCGCTCCAGACACCCCCACCCTCCCCACCCAAGGCATTCAGAGCCCAGGGAGGCTGTACCCATTGCTGGGTGGCCCTGCCCAGGGAGGGGTTTCTAAGCAGCCTGGAGGGAGCCCACATGGGGTGGGGTGGGACAGTCAGTCTTGGTGGGGCCATCATTCCCACAAGCTGCTTTCCCTCTGGACCGGGGTTCCTATCTGTGAAATGGGGATAGGAAAACCTAGAATCCCATTTATCAGGACGAGATGGGGGGCCACGAGTTTCGTGGCTCCAAATCCACTTTTGCAGGAGGCCTGAAACCCCAGGAATCAGAATTTTCAGCACAGAATCCCCAGGAAGAAGCTGGCACTGGCTGAGCTGGACTGGGCTGGACTGGGCTGGACTGGGCTGGGCTGGGCTGGGCTGGGCTGGATAGAGATGGTGCTGGGGACAGCGGCTGTGCACTGCTTCCAGCCCTCCCTCCCTCCCTCCGTCCCTCTTCCTCCTCCTCCTCCTTTCTCCTTCTCCCCCACCCAACGCCACCACATTTGGAAGGAGGCGAAGGGAGCTTATTTATAAAAGTCACACTTGAGGAAGGAGCTGGCGCGTTTCCTCACGCTGCAGGCCCGGCCCAGCCCTCCATCCTTCTCCAGCTCCCACCTCTCCCTCTGCAGATGGGGAGCGAAGGGGGTCACTGGGGACTAGCCAGGGGGCCTCAACACCGTTGCAGGCCCTCAGAGATCAGAAAGGCCACTCACAGGGTACAGGTAGCAAAGAGAGACCAGTGCCAGGGCCAGGGTCACACAGCCAGGGAGCTCCACCCTGGCATGAGCTGCCTCCTCCCCTCAACTCAGAGACTCCCTGATTTTCTTCCTGGGGACTTTGCAGAGCTGACCTATCCCTCCCCGGGCCCAGGACAGGGCTTATTGTCTGCGTGCCAGGCTATGGAGGACAGATGCAGGAGGCTAAGGACGTAGCAAGGAGGGAGAGTTGGAGCAGCACAATCCTGGAAGCCTTCCTGGAAGAAGAGACCCTGGGATAGCCCAGGAGCAGTATTTGAATGGGAGGAGAGAGAGTGATCCAAAAGAGGGCACAGCTTAGTGACGGCAGAGAGGTTCGAATGACCAACCAGGAGAGAATTGCAGGTGGTCCTGACTGCTGGTGTCTGGGGCCCCCTGAAGTGCCTTGAGGTCTAGACCGAGGCCTAACTCACTGGAGCAGCAAAGGCAGGCCTGGGTGAGGAGGCCCAGAGCCCTGCGTTGCCCACCAGTTCCCTTTCTCCTGTTGCTGGGAAGAGTCTGGTGGTTGGGAGGCAACACTGGGCGGGTTCATCCTGAGTCTCCCTCTGCTCACTTCCTCGTCCGCAGCACGGAGCCAGTGTTACCCACCTCGAAGAGTAGCAGGCACGAGGGTGTAAGAACGGGGGCCGGACAGGGCTCCCCCATCCTGCCTCCCGTTACCTCCCGGCGCTTTCCCAGCATGAGCGATGCATTTGGGCACATTTTCATCTGGGCTGCAGATGGAACGGCCTTCCAGGACCATCTAGTTGAGCCTCCTATCTTACAGATCAGAACACAGGTCCACAAAGGGCCAGGTGTTTATCTGCAGTCACTCAGCATGTAGGGACAGAGCCCTGCCCCTTTCCATGGCCTGAAGCTGCTTCTCTGAGCCTCGCTGGGGCCCTGTGAAGGGGAAGGCTCTGCAGGGCAGGGACCTGGTGTCCACAGACCTGGAGGGTGGGGACAGGGTGAGGAGGCTCGGATTGCACAGCCCTCTTTCCTGGAGACACAGCTTGGCCTCTTGCACACCCCTGACTCAGCTCTGGGCCTCTCTACACTAGTGATATTGACTTTGATTAGTCACTTAAAAGAAGAAGGGGAAAAAAATTGCCCTCGAGGCAGACAACAGCCACTGTGCTCAGCAGTGATGCATCAATGTTGCCGGCCTGATTCGCTCCCCTGGGACAGGCCTGGAGGCTGCCTGGCCTCTGCTCCGCTTGGAGGAGTCAGACTGTTGCATCCAGGAAGGTGTCCTGGAATCTGGGAGTCTCTGCTAGGAGAGACCACCAGGACTGCCCCGCCTCCGCCAGGAGAAGCCGGGGGCATCCGGCACACTGTGCTTCCGCCAGGGTCTGCTCTTCCTAGCCCTCCATGGGCGGGAGGTAGGCAAGCATTCCCTCCCGGCCCTCCCACCTTTCATTCCTGGTTGGAGGTGGTGATTTTTTTTTAATTTAAAAAATTTTTTTTATTATTTTGAGATGGAGCCTTGCTCTGTTGCCCAGGCTGGAGTGCAGTGGCACGATCTCGGCTCACTATAACTTCTGCCTCCTGGGTTCAAGTGATTCTTCTGCCTCACCCTCCTGAGTAGCTGGGATTACAGGTGCACACCACCATGCCTGGCTAATTTTTTTGTATTGTTAGTAGAGACGGGGTTTCACCATACTGGGCAAGCTGGTCTTGAACTCCTGATCTTGTGATATGCCTGCCTCAGCCTCCCAAAGTGCTGGGATTACAGGGATAAGTCACTGCACCCAGCCACCCCTATAAATTCTGATTCCATCTCTTTGGGGTGGATCCCTGGAAGCCGGGGGTTTTTTTGAGTCCCCCCAAGGATTCTGGTACTTGGCCAGCTTTGAGAGCCACTGAATGCGGAACCATAAAACACCAAGATGGTAGCTGGGCTTGGGGGCTCACGCCTGTAGTCCCAACTACATGGGAGGCTGAGGCAGAAAGACTGCTGGAGCCCAGGAGTTTGAGACTAGCCTGAGCACCATAGTGAGACCACCATCTCTACGAAAATTTAAATTAGGCAAGTGTGGTGGCAGGTGCCTGCAGTCCCAGCTACTCTGAGGCTGGAGGATCACTTGAGCCTGGGA